AACCAAGATGGAGGCTACCTCTCAGCTCCTGGGGTCATTAGCCAGCTGCTGTAGAGATGGTTCCCCATAGCTGCTCAGCCACCACCTTTCCCTGTAGCTGCCACCACCTTAGCCTGGCCTCTTCACATTATGTGCAGCATCTCAGTGACTCTGTAGCCATCTTACAAGAAAGGGAGGGCACTGCTTTCATCTCCATTTTAAAAATGAAGAAACTGAGACTTAGGTTATGGAACTCACCCAATGTCACACAGCCAGCAGGTGCCAGGCTGGGATTTTAACCCAGATTAAGGTTGTTACCCTCACAAGGCCTCCTCGAGGGTCCTGGGCCTTGACTGCCCATTCTGGCCCCTTTGCTCAGCATGGGCTCCAATGAGGAGCTCTGAGCCCGCCCTCCAGCAGCAAATCTCCCTTCCCTGACTAACTGGTCATTCACTGAGTCATTGAACACCCACCACGTGCAGACCTATGGCCTGGGTGGGCGTAAGTGTATGGGAGTGGAGGCCTTGGTCAGAGACTCTGATTAATGCACAAGGGAGCTTGGAGATAGGGCCACCCATCCCTGCACCCCACAGCCTAGAGTTGCGAGGCTTTTTGACTTTGTCACCTCCTCAGCTGAGGAGTGTGCGGCTCAGGGCCCAGCCTGGGGGTGGTGATGTTGGCATGTGTGTGAGTAGGGCGACATTAGCACCCCACCCCCAAACCTGGCCAGTTTGGACCAAGGAGGCACCTGAGCCACTGCAGCCTTTTTGCAGGGAGTCCTGGGTGCAGGCATCTGGGTCCAGCTAGTCCCTTGGGAGCCCCTAGGGGTCCAACAGGACATAATCACCCTTGGGGTGGAGCTCATGGCTGCTCCAGGCCTCAGTGCCCAGAACTCAGTGGGAAGAGACTGGGTCCTCATGTATCCGTCCCAACCCCAGAGCCCAGAATTGGAGGAGAGCTGAACTAGGGGGTGCTGGACAGAGGGAGGATGCCAAGCGGGAGGATCTGATCTATCATTGTTGGTGAACAATGAGCCGTCACCACCCTAATTAAAGATGTAATTACAGCAAATACATTCTGGGCTGAGAATGGATGACGGATGGCAGTAAGGCACCTTGTAGCCAGCAGCCAGGAGACACTGCCCACTAAAGCTCCCCACTCCAAGCTGGGGAATCCTCCCCTCAGCACGTGCCCCCACCCCCAAGCTGGTTACAGGGTGTCCTGGTGCCTCCCGACAGGGTGGTGACAGACAGGTAGGGACTGAGGCTGGAGCTGAGGCGCCAGGCAAGGGTCAGGGGACAGGGCCTTGTTGGAGAAATGACAGAGGGAAGGAGGCCCAGAGGCCAAAGTAAGAGGACCTGGGCTGGTGTGTCTGTCAGGCAGCGGGCAGGGCCAGGGCGGAGTGGTTATCTCTGTGAGAACATTGCCAGAACACGAAGCAGTTTGTCAAGGCACCCATGCTAGGGGGATAATTGGAGTCCTGCAAAGGCCAGAGGACTGGACTGATGGCTACTGAACCCTGGCCCTAGAGGATGAGTGCGGGGCAGAGCTGAGGGGACTCAGCCTGTAGAGGGTAACCACAGCAGGGGTCTGGTGGGCCATATTGGCTTTTAGGTCTGGCCCAGGCTTTAGGGACTAGGTGGCAGGGGGCCCTACTAAGGGCCGATTTGTCCTTGCCTGGGGTCAGAGTCCAGGGCAGGGGACTGGCCATACTGGATTAGTGGGCTTCTCCCACTGCCCTGGCCGCTGCTGCTCCCTTATTCAGCATGGAAGGCCCCCAACCACCTCCCCATCCCCCACACCCCTGCTCGGGACCCCCTCAAAGGTGTGAGCACTGGTTGCCCCAGGGAGTCCTGGGCTCGGGCCATCTTCCTCTACCTGGGATCTAAGTTCTGGATTCCAAGCCTGTTTGCCCTGGGCCCCCATCTCACTTATCCTCAGGGAATAATAAATCCTGAGGACAGGGTCAGGTCACTCTGAAGCCAGCTTGAGCTAGGACCATCCCAGGGCCAAGGCATGAAGGCCTGCCAGGATGGGGAGCTTGGTGGCCTCATCCTCTTGGCCCCATCTGCCGTGGTGGCCTGTGGCTGGGGTCCTTCGAGGTGTATGGGTTGACCCCAAGGGGGAGAGGGCTGGGTGTGGGACGGTGGGGAGTCCAGGCAGGCAGGCAGAGGAGAGAAGGCCACTGACAGCAGAACAAATGCTTGTAATTTTATAACCAATCTCAGCGTGTCCATGGGGGGCCGTTTGTGCCTCCACTCAGGACCAATCAGCCTGACAGAGCTATGAGTCTGCCTGAGTGAATGTGAGCAGCCCCTCCCCAACCAGCACCACTTACTGCAATCTCATTACCCGCCCAGCCCAAGAAGGGCCAGAGCTGAGGGGCTGCAGGGAAGGGGACCCAGCCCACCCTGGAGCAAGGCCAGGCCAGAGCTAAGGCTGGGCCTGGGGTCAGGAGGGGCAAGGTGGGCAGGCCTTGGAGATCCAGCAGCTCAGAGGGAGGAGGAAGGGAGGCAGGCTCAGGACAAATATTTTGCACCCACTGGTTGCAGAGCATAGATATAGGATAGGATAGATAGGGCACAAGCCCCTGCCCTCAAGGGGCTTGCAGTCCGCTACAGGCAGATGGAAAAGTTACAGAGGGATGGGCCCTGGGGAAGGTGGAGATGGAGAGAGAAGTGACAGGAAGGCAGGAGGCTGAAGGACAAGAAAGGAAGGCAAGGAGGGACACAGCTCTAGAGCCGAGCTGGTCTTGAGCAAGAGGTAGGAAGGAGAGGGTAAGAAATCAAGGAAGAGGGAAGCAGAGAAGCCTCAGAAGTGCATGCAGAGCCAGGCAGAGAGACGCAGGCCATGGGAGAGAAATGCCCACCAGGGGAGAGGAGGTTGGGGAGGGGCTGGCTGGTCAGTGGTGGATATTAAAGGACGGCCTTGCCGGATATCTGGCTCTGGGGATGGCTATGTGCCCATTAGTCTCTCTAATTGTCAAAAATCTAATTTAGTGTCTGGAGCTCGGGCCGGCCTCAGGTTAAACGGAGAGAGGCAGGCCTAACTATAAATCTGCCCTCCCAGCCTGGGCTGGTGCTAATTCTGCAGTTAAGTGAGGGGGTGAGGAGGGCAGCGAGATGGAACAGGGGTGTTCTGGAGAGGGGTTATCTATGACCCTGCATGCCAGCTCCCTCCTGCTAAGTCATGCCGGGCCCTCCTCTCTTGATGGAGGGAGGGGACTTGCTTAGGGCTCATGTGGACCAAGCAGGGGTAATGCCTCAAATGTGTGATGAGCTTGGGACCAGAGGATTCTGTTTGCGGGGCTGGGATTGTAAAACCCTTAGCCTCTCCTCCTCCTGGACCCACTCGGGGTCTATGAGGGCTCAGCTCTTGCAAAGGGATGGGTAGGAAGGTCACATTTCCTAGTAGCATTGTGTGCCTTTGGTGAGGAAGGGGGCATGGAAGTTCACACCACGTGACAAGCGACTGGTCATCCTGTTCATTAGGTGACTGCCAGCAATGGCCTCAGTGATGGGACCCAAGAGCCATTCCTCAGTGGGGAGAACAAACCCCTTGGGCGGCCCGGACTCCAAATAAGGTGCGTGGGGACCAGACAGCCTCTGAAGGACTATGTGGCCTGAGGCAGGGGAGGGCTCTCCACCTGGGCTTGGTAATGACCTCACTCCCCTCAGAGCTGCTAATTGAAAGCAAGGGGTGTGGTAGGCTCAGCAGGAGAGGGTGGGGGACTGAGAGGGTTCCTTGACAGGCTCTGCTTCCATGGGGGGAAGAAAACGATTTCTCCTGGCTTCAGCTCCATCTCACCAGGCACCCACCGGCCTCTCCTGCTGCTAACGAAGTGCCTTTAATTAGAAGCCTAATAAAATGCTCTTAATTGGCAAGAGCCAATCAGGAAGAAGAGAGGTCTCCTCCCCTTAGTCATTGCTGATGGTGGCACAGCTATAGGTTTCAAGGGGAGAGGGGTCCCAAGCAAGCCCAGCCTGGCTTTGGGAAACAGTGACTTTAGGGTTATCTTCCAGATGTGCCCTAGACCCCCGTTTTCCTGGGGGAAACCATCTGACACTGGGTTTGAAGTGGGACCATAACCCTCCTGGCCCAGCCTCTGCTCAATACCAGGCTCAGGAGTCCAGCTGGCGAGTGACTACTGATTAGACGCCAGAGGCCCTGACTGGTCTCTGCTGACTCCTCCTCCCCTGTCCTTAGTTGTTAGGGAGGAGACTCCAGTGTGGTCTCAGTCAGTGTGGGGAGCCTCTTTTCTTACTGAGGTTCCCCATCTGCAAAACACAGGGTACACTTGATACTTGGTTATGCCTCCAGCCCCAGCAAGGAGAGCTTTGCCCTGGGGCCCTGACTTGTCAGCCTTAGGATGCTCACCATCAGTGTTAGTAGGTCTAGGTACAACAGGCACCGAGGTCACAGGTTGACGAGCAGGAAGATACTACAGATGTAAAACAGGGATGGGTTAATTTTGACAAGGGTCCACTTGTGGCTCTAGGAGGGGAGAGGAGGAGGGAAGCCTGCCTTGCCTGCAGCCTTGTCCCCATCTTCCTAGGATTGGTTTAAGGAGGGAAAGGAGGTGGCTTTCCCCCAGACGATCAATGCTCCCTTGGTTTTTACAGCTTGTTGGAGTCGCTCTGAAGTTGCTCCTGAACGTGAGAGCTCACCTGACTAGAAACTGACCACATGGGATGCAGGAGAACCCAAGTCTTCTCACCCTCTCAGGAGGCAGAGGAACATTTAAGTTCTGGGTTCAGGTGGGGTTGAGCTAGACTGAGGCCATGTTGACCAGCTCCCAAATTAGACACCATTTTGGCTTAAATTTAATTCAACACAGAACATTAGTTGTGTGCCAGTGGCCCTGTATGTATGCACACCGTTTGGCCCTGACTTGTCTATGGGCCAATGTTGTTTTCTCACGTCAGATGATCTTAAAAGGTATCTGTGCACTCCCTCAACCTGTGTATTGAAAAACTCACTGTCCTCTTGATGTTGGGCAAACAGACAAGACACTTAGAAAATTCACTTTAATCTTATATTTGTAATTTAAGTTACTTTTTTCTGAACAGTTAAAAAAACCAAAACACACTATATTATCATGATCCTAGGTTGTGAACATAATTGGTACATTGACTACACATCACCAAACATAAGCACAAAAGTCAAAGCAGTCAGTACTTAAGTCTAGAGAACAAAGGGCTGAACCAACGGACAGCTCTCAGGGAAGCTCACATCTGTTGCCAGGCCTGCCCCTAGTTGGAGTCCAGTGAATATCCCTCAGAACAGTCTGGGTTGGGCTTGTGTGGTCACTGATTTGGGATGGTGTCAGTATCCTCGGTACCCAGAGGTCTAACCCTCCTTGTTGGTCTTTCCTTTGGTGTCCAAGAAGGGACAGGGAGAGAGGGGAGGTGATGCTTTATAATGCTCTTTACTGCACTCATCCTTAAACACAGACACAGCCAGTCAGGAGCTAAGAGTCAGCTGGCTGGGCTGGAGAGCACATAGTTTAGATATCATCTGCCTCGAGGAAATTTTAGATCATAGGTACTCAACTTCCAACAGAAAAGGTTTCAGGATATCAATGCATTAAGTTGCACCTGCAATCAGGCAGCCATAATCATGCCCTTTTGGTTTCTTTCCTCAGTTCCAAGAATTCTGAAGTCACAAATGAACTACAGATAAAAATAACAAGCAGCAAAACTCAGCCTTATTGCCCTAAGAGATGGCTGTCTTTCTGGCACTGATTATGTTGAGATTGTGGAGACAGTAAGGGGCTCTGGGCTGGCAGCGGTCAGCTGTGTGGACGGAGCCCAGCAAGAGGGACTCAGCCTGCAGGCCCTGGGTGCACGTGTTAGAAGTGAAAGTTGTTATTCTAGGACGGTAGAGAGGAAGGCAAGGAGAAGCATGGGTACCTTTTCATGTTCTTCAGCTTGAACTCACCCAAATGGGGAAGGAGATCAGAAATGTGGACTAAAGTCATATGGTAAACCTGAAGCCCAAAGAGCATGATGCTTACGGGTGGCGCTTATCTAAGCATCCCTTTTTCCACCTGGAAGTACCTTGGATTCCTCCAGACTCAAGCTCGCAGCCTAGGCCCTCAGGCTGGCACTATTCTGGATTGGGCTGCTCCCACTTCAGGCAGGAAGGTATTACCATCTAAGGTAAATGGAGGACGCCAAGAAAGTCAACAATACCAAGGCATCTAATCTAATTCTAGGAAAGAAAAAAACCACCCTAATTATTTCCAATATTCCCCACCCCCTCCACCCCAAGCCCTTTGTTTCCATACACAGTCGAGTGCTAAGATCAAGCCCAGCTGTTTAGACCAATGGGTACCAAGAGACGGCAACGGAGAAGAGTGCCTATTTTCTTCTCTTCAGCTTTTGATTTTACAAAAGAAAAATAAGAAAGGATTTTTCTTACTCAGGCAGAAAACAGAATGATTTAGGGGTCCCAGGGTCTTTCTCAGTTTGGGAACAGGTTCTGAGGGCCAGACTTTATTATTTGTCGATAAGAGTTCCAGAGAGTCCCTGTCTCTGTTTCTGGCAGAGTCACCAGAAAGAATTTTGCCAAGGGACAAGTGTACAAGGCCTCCCATTCACACTGCACACAGGAAAGTAAAAGGGTGTTGTCAGGGGTGGAAATACACACACGTGCAGCAAGGCATGCTGGTTTTAGCCAGGCAGCCCCAGTGTGAACGGAGAGCTTGCGCGTACCCCGAGCTCCCAGGAGCACATGCACGCACACGCCTCTTGCTCGCCTTTGAAGGGGCTTCCTCCCACCTTTAAGAAATGTTCCTTTCAGGCCCACATTGGAATTTTAGCGAGAAGAGGCTAATCCACAATGGAGACATTTCATTTCAGAGCGCAGAGACACCGTCAGCTCCTTTTCTGCCATTCCTTTAAATGTGTTGAGACTTTCTTTGTTTCTCTTTTTAAAAAGGTCAAACTTTACATTTATTCTAGCCCAGTTGGGGATTAGTGATAATCAATTCCCACTGAAATCATGCAGAGATGGTAAGTGGGGTTTACCATCTCTGGAAATGAACTTCTACTTACCTGATTATTTCTTCTACAATGAACTGGTAAATGACCCCCCGAGCTGAGAAATGTGACTGACTCAAGTTTTTTCAGACCACTTAACTTCATTCCCATTTCATCAGCAACAGAGGACAACTTGGAGAATATCCTCAAGGGAGCTAATGGCTCCAGACTGCAGGGCCCACCTCAATCTCATTTATGATATACTGAACAAGCTTCAGAACAGTTTCAGAAACAATCTACTTTCAACTGAACCTAGATGAGAGAGCAAAACCCCGGGCACCAATGAATATTCAACAGCTCCCACTTTTGAACAGCAGCATATAACAGAAGGGCTAGTCAAGTTATGGCTATTGGACAGTATTTTGAAATAGCTTAAAATCCATGCTTCTTTAATGCCTGACCTGTGTGTCTTTCAGGGCTGACGGGGCCCTCTGCCTTATCTATAGCAGAATCTTTAATCAATCAAAAAGTCATTAATAATCAACACAACAGACAAGGAACCCTGATAGTGACTAGATAGAAAACATTTCTCTGTAGCATTGGGTAGTTGGAAAGGGAATTACACTCAGAAAATATTTCCTAGGCAATAACTTATCATTACACTGGGAAGTATTTTCTGACTGCAACCTGGAACTAAACGCTTAAAAGCACTCATAAAGCAGGAAAGGAAAAATGCATATGCACAACCTGACTTTTAAGATGTAATAACAACACAGGGCACGTTTTAGGAAGAGGATACCTTCTTGCAAATCAGAGGGAACAGTGAAGATGACTTTCTCCCCTTCTCCCTCTGCTGAACTACAGGTGGCCTGGCTTTGAGGTCACCGGCAACTGGCTCCCATTCTGATGTTTTTACAGCAACTGGTTACTCAACTGCTTTGACCAGGAATGGAAACAATGGGCCTGACAGTTCAGCTTCCAAGGGACACTTGAGACTGTGCTGTGGCTGAGAAGCCTTTAATGGGGGTGTCCATGTCACCTGAAACGGCTGGTGGAGGTCCACTCCTGCCCCAGGAAGCAAGCTTGGCACAGGCTGACCGTATTCCCTATCGCTCCCAGGCTGGGGTGGCACACGTGCCCTACGCCCAAAGCCCACACAGCTGCCGTTCAAGTGGCTGGGTCAGCTGGGCCCTCGCTGAGGTCCATTTGTTTATGTTGTTCACCAACTGCCAGAGAAATTTTATTGGTTGGGGAGGGTGGAGAGTAAATAAGACTAGGAGGAGGAAGGAAAGGAAAGAGAAGGCAGTTTCTGCCCCATAAGAAACCCTGTGTGCCAGTCTTCACCCTGATCTGTTCTCTCTGGCAGCTTTGCCCTTTGTAAATATTGGGCTTGGGAAACGCAGAAGGTTCTGCAGTGCAAGGTTGAGATGATTAGCTTGATTTTTGAGAAATTATATTTACTGACCTAAATGAAAAAGAAACCAACTTTTTACTCCTGGCCACCTCTGAAGCTACTCTGACTGTGGTCTTGGCAAAGATGCAGGCGCCTGCGTGCTCACAGGCCCTGCTGAGGAAATCAGAGATGTGAACCATTACGCAGTACGCACCGAGCCACTGGCTCTGGCCATTTCAAACCTTTCTGTAGGCTGAGCCTTACCAGTGATTTAAGATGAAGTACAATGCTTTTTATTACACATCTAATTGTTAATGAGAGGAAATGCAATCAGCAACTCCTTTCCACACTCTACATGGAATCAAGGAGACTGCTGAGTCCAGAAAAGATGTGGTCATTGATGGAGCCCAGGAAACTTCTGCTCCCCACCTTTTCTGGGGGGCAGGGGGAGGGGAATTAGAAGAAGACAGAAGAGTTGCAAATATGATGCGAGTACCATGTCTGAGAACCCACTGTTGTCACATAGGGTCACTTGCAGCAAAAGTCTAGGTTTGAAATTCTGACTGAACAGCATTTAACTCTTCCAAGTGTTGCATTTTCTAGCTGATTTGTCTCATGCTAACTGAGGACACTCTCTTCATACTCTTTCTTCTGAGGAGGAGTAGAGAAACAGGTTGAAGGGGAATGGAGGGAGGGGGAAAAACAGGGACAGAAACAGAGAGAGATGAAAGGAAGGAGGCCCCGATCTTCCAGTGTGCGCATTCCTGCTGTCTCTCTTTCTTGCCCCAGAGGCTATACAGACAGCTGTCTCCCCCTAAGCACAGGGGGGCCATGCTGATCTTGCCAGGCGCTGGGCGTTCTGTAGTTCACGGGGAGACACTGGGTGCTGTCTGGCTGGAAGCTGTATCCCCGTGCCCTAAAAGTGGGTCTCTCCCAGCAGGCTATATAGGGAAACTAGTTCTTCTGCTTAATGGCAAAGCAAGAGAGATTCTGGCAAAACACTAAATATATTTATAAGTCATCTTTGTCTGGAACCAAATGAGGGGAAAATGGGTGCAGAGGGGAAAGGAGGAGGGGAAGTGAGGTGAGGTTTAAAAGTTCCAATCATTCATGAAAGATAAAAGACATCTTCTGATAGCAGCACGGAAGCAGTCAGCTGTGCTGAGTAGACCCTCCTGGGTCGACTGCAGACCAACTGTGTCCCAACAGGAGTCTCAAAGCCCCGTCCCTCGGCTAGTCCGGGGAAAGTGGGTAGTATTTTGATTGTTACTGTTGTTGCTCATCCTGGTATTGGCAGATATGTTAAATACCGCAACTTTAATGAGTCCTGTGTGAAAACAGAGCAAATAGTCATTAGTCCCTTTTCCTGTATTTCTTACTTGCTCTATGAGGAAAAGAATATTAACTTAGTGTCAATTGGGAGAAAGGCTCAGAGGTCCTTCTTAATGCCCCCTTTCTGCCCACGCTGAGCAGGAGCTTTGTCAAAGGCCATGGGCTGTGTGGGGACTTGGTGGGGCTCACTGATATGCTCAGGGCCACAGTGCTCACACACAGTGACTCTGATGTCTTGAGATCAGGAGTGACTATGGGGGGGGGGTGGCATCGAGCTTTCACCTGCTCCCTGTAAAGGTACAGCAGGCGAGGACAGTTCTAAGGTTCTGGCCCTGAGCAGCCTTCAAAGGCAGGTGTGTAGGTGGTGGCTGGATATGTGGCCTAGAGATGAAGGCAGAGGTTGGGACTAGAGGTACAATACACATTTTAGAGCCATCCACATTGAAACGAGAGCTGCAGCCTTGGGAAGAGACAAGAGAGCCAAAGGAGGGAGCTTAGAGAAGGAAGGAAAGCACGAGACAGGCTCTTAGGGGCTGTGTGTGTTAGGGGTGAGAGGGAGAGGATGCATAAGCAGTAAGAGCACCAGGAGACTATTAAAAATGGCAAAATGGGTAGAAATCTCAGGAAGAGAAAATCTTGGCAAAAGGAGGGGATAGGTAACATGATCATTAGCACTAATGATCACTTTTTACTAAGGGCTTGTTATGTGCTCGGCACTGTGCTGAGTACTAAGAATTTTACACATAACATTTCAATGCAATCCTCACAACAGCTTTGTGTAGTAGGTACTACAGCCCTCACTTTACTAATAAGGAAACTAAAGCTCTGGGAAGTTACTTGCCCCAGGGCACACAGCTAGGACTGTCACTCAGGCCTGAGGGATGAGGAAGCAGTGTGTCCTCTATGAGAAGTGAGCCCAGCAGGGCACGAGCCACCCCGTTCAGAAGAACCACTGCCAAAAGGCGTGCAGGGAAGTGTGTTACATGTGTCCTTCTGCCACCAGAACGGAGGCAAGCGTGGGAAACAAGAAATCGTCATGATGGCAACGTTCCCCAGCGGCAGTGCCATTTTCCCAAACCAACAATAACCCAATCAAAGCATCTGACCTGGTTAGGACACGATATACCACAATATAGATATACCACAATCTAAAGGCAATTTCAGGATCTTTTTCTGCCTAAGGGAGGAGGAAGACTTGAGTGGGAGAGTACACGCAGTTCTCACCAACTCCAGAGCTACTGCCAAGGTCAAAGGACAGTTCTTTTCATTGTTTGAGAAGGTGGAAATTGGAAATAAGGATTAAAAAAAAAAAGCTACCTTTTATAAACAAATGACACTGACAAGGCAGAGCTGTGAGAAGTCAGCATATTTCACCATGAGGTTTTCCCATTCGCACATTAGATTATCTCTGGTTTCAAGGGTCTCTATTATAGGCACTGGTTTGACCTGGGAAATACAAAGCCATAGGCTTTTGGGTTGTTCCTCTTCGTTTTGAAACTGATTCAAATCTCTTACTTTCTTAATCCTATTAGATATCTGGGGTGGGAATTATTAGTTCTATATAAGGGTCATCTAGATCTTGTTCAAGAACCATCTAGAACTGAGGCTGGCTGCCTGGATGAAGGCAGCATCCAATACACAGCCCCAGTCCTGCCTCACAATGCTGGCTCCCCTTGCTTTCAGGACTTGTGGAGAGGTCAAGGACAAGAGAAGGCGCCACGAACCAGCAACACCTCAGAGCCAATACTCCGTCTCCTACCCACAGTGCTTTGTGCACAGCTCGCTTTCATACCTGGGCAAGAATGAGGTCAGCGTGTGATTATTTATCTGGAGATATAGGTGTATGTTCGAGAAGGGGAGCGGGGAGGGTCAGCTTGGACAGCTGGATCGTTTAGAAAGTCCCAGATGAGGATTGTGTCATCATGTGAACTACTGACAATCTGGAATTCGTCAAACTGGAGTCGGAAAACTCTTCCAGAATGCTCCTAAAGAAGCAGAAATGAAACTTTTGAGCTGCTCAAAATCAAAAGGACACAAATTCAGCAACAGGTCAGGAGGAGTCTATGAAAAGGCTATTTTATGCTGATAAATTTCTCTATCGTTTAGTTGTTTTAAGAACACAGAGAAAAAACTTACTTTGGATTGAAGGCAGGATGGAAAAGTCAAATATTGGGCAGTTGATTTCGAACACAATCAAAATAATATTCACTAGCGCTGAGACATGTCACATAGTATGCTAGTTTCTCATTGCTAACGCTCCTCGGCTTAGGCTGCACAAGACCATTCCTCAGTGCCTCCCTTGCCTTCTCCTCTGTCTGTATCTCTAGGATTCTTCTACAGTCAGAGGCCAAGGCTTGATGAGCAGTAAATGGTGTGCTGGTAAATGTTTATCAATTAACTCTCCCCAATTTGTAAAAGCATTTGCACATTTTCATGGTGTAAAAATTCCTACCCTGGCCAACTTCAAGCTACCCATGTGAGGTCAACCAGCTCGCAAAATTCATGAAAATTTAACATTTTGGCTCTCATAAGCAGTTATAAGCCTATTTAGCACATCACTGTAGTAACCACCACCCTGATCATTTCCAGCATCAAGAAAGTACTCTCATGTCCCTTACTAACTAGTTAATACTACCTTAACCCCAAAGCCACTATCAATTCATTTTTCCTGTTTCATATAAATATACTCATTAACAGCATGTATTCTTTTCTCCTGATTTCTTTTACTCAACAGTATAAGATTCCTCTCTGTTACTGTATGTAACAGTAGTTCAGTCTTTTTTTTTATTACTGGTTGATATTCCATTATATGAACACAGTACAATTTATCGTTTCTCCTGTGGTGGACATATGGGCTGACTGTAGTTTTGGCTATTTTTTTTTTTTTTAAAGATTTTGTTGGGGAATTGGGGAAGGGGAACAGACAAGTTGCTGTCCTTTTTTGTTCTTCAGTCTAGTTGTGGAGGACGTTGCTTCACTGGCCCATGTTGGTATTATCATTGCGCTCTTCCCGGGTGAAGCAGATCAGTTGCCGGCCATTGGACGGCCGCTCACAGTGGCTCACGGCAGTTCACGCCAGCTGCCGGCCACTCATGGTAGCTTATGGCAGACCACTGCAGCCCCACTGCAGCCTATGCGACGGCGACTCACAGCAGCCCAGCTCCAGGTCGAGCTTTTGTTCACCATCTTAGCTGTAGAGGGCACGGCGTCACTGGCCCATGTGGGATCCGAACCGGCGGCCCGGCTGCTCAAAGCTCGCGCTCCCAAGCCAACTCTTAACCAACAAGCCACTCGGCCGGCCCTAGTTTTGGCTACTATAAATAAAGCTGCTATGGATATCTATATACATGTTTTTTGATGGGTATATGCTCTCGTTTCACTGAGGAGTAGAACTGCTGGGCCATGGAGTAGGAGTTATGTTTAGCTGTATGTACTAGATATGGCAAAACAGTTTTTTAAAAGTTGTGCCAATTTATACTACCACCAGCAATGTATAGGAGTTCCAGTTGCTCCACATCTTCAACAAATTGATACTGTCAATCTTTTAAATTTTAGCTATTTCGGTATATCTGTAGTGGTACTTTATAGAAGTTTTAATTTGCATATTTCTTTAAGAAGTTGAGGCAATTCCCTTTTATTCCTAGTTTGCTGTGAGTTTATCATGAACGGATGTTGGATTTTGCCAAATGCTTTTTCTCCATCTACTGACGTAATCATGTGATTTTTCTTATTTAGCCTTCTGATGTGATGTATTACATTAATTGATTTTTGAATATTAAACCTGCTTTGCATACCTGGAATAAATCTCCCTTGATCATGGTGTATAATTCTTTTTACACATTGTTAGGTTCAATTTGCTAATATTTTGTTGAAATTTATTTTAAGTTACTTGGTTTTATTGGCATTTTACTATCTTTTAAATAATTTCAGAAATTTTCCTTATTGTGAAATCACTAAACATAAGGAGGAGTGACAAGACCACATGAGTATGTAAATATCTCTTTGAAATCTTGCTTTTGATTCTTTTGGATATACTGTATACCCAGAAATGGGAGTGCTGGATCCTCTGGTAATTCTATCTTTAATATTCTGAGGAACTGCCATACTGTTTTCCATAGAGGATGTACTATTTTACATTCTTTACAAAATGCAAATAAGCTAATAGATGAGCATCTGTGTGCATGAGACATATTGATCTGCAGTTTCCTTTTCTTGTAATATCTTTGTCTGATTTTGGTATTAGGGTAATGCTGGCCTCATAAAATGATTTAGGAAGTATTCACTCTGCTTCTATCTTGTGGAAGAGATTGTAGAGAACTGGTATAATGTCCTTCTCAAACATTTGGTACAATTCACCAGTGAACCCATTTGTGCCTGGTGTTTCCTGTTTAGGAATGTTATTAATTATTGCTTCAATTTCTCTAATACATATAGGTCTATTCAGATTGTCTATTTCTTCTGATGTGAGTTGTGGAAGATTATATCTTTCAAGGAATTGGTCCATTTCATCTAGGTTATCAAGTTTTGGGGCACAGAGTTGTTCATAGTATTTCTTTATTATTATCCTTTTAATGTCCATGGGATCTTTAGTGATGCAAAGTTGTGTTTAACATTCAAAAATTAATGTAATATGCCAATCAACAGAATAAAGGTAAAAATGTAAGATCATCTCAACAGATGCAGACAAAAGCATTTAACGAAACCCAACATCCATTTCTAATAAAAACACTCAGCAATCTAGGAACAGAAAGGAACTTCCTAATCCCCTGAAAGCAGGTATCTATGAAAAACCTATAGCTAACATATATGTATATACATGTATATATAAAATGGTGAAAGAACAAATGCCTTTCTCCCAAGATAAGGACATCCACTCTTTCCGATTCTTTTGAACATTGTATTGAAGGTCTTAGTCAAGACAACAAAACAAGAGAGAAATGAAAGGTACACAGATTGGAAAAGAAGTGTATTCTTATATACTTGCAATGAACAATCCAGAAACTGAAAATTTAAAGTACCATTTATAATAGCATTAAAAATATGAAATACTTAAGGATTAAATGATAAAAGATTTATAAGACCTTTACACTGAAAGCTATAAAACATTGCTGAGAATTTTAAGAAGACCTAAACAAATGGAGAGATATACTGTATTCACGGTAGTGAAGTCAATTCTCTTCAAGCCAAATTGATCTAGATTTAACACAATCCCAATGAAAATTGCAGATTTCTTTTTTTTTTGGGGGGGGCGGGGGTTGGGGAGGTAAAATTGGCAAACAGATTCTAAAATTCACATGAAAATTCAAAGGACCGCAAAGACTTTGAAAAAGAACAAAGTTGAGAACAAAGTTACACTACTTGATTTCATGAGTTATTAAAAAGCTGCAGTAACCAAGATAGTATGATATTGGCATCAAGATAGACAAAAAGGTCAATGGAAATGAACAGGTCCATAAAGTAGACCCACACATACATGGTCAACTGGATCTTGACAAAGCTGCAAAGACCATTCAGAGAAAAAGGATAGTATTGGATAAAAATGGTACAAGAACAACTAGCTATCCATGTGAACTTTGAACCATACCTTGTACCGCCCACAAAAATTAACTCAAAATGAATCACAGACCAAAATGTAAAACCTAAAACTATAAAACTTCTAAAAGAAAACACAGGGGAAAAAAATCTTTGTGACTTTGGATTAGGCAAAGATTTATTTTTTAGGTATAATATCAAATACAATCTAAAATAGAAAAAGTTGATAATTGGACTTAATCAAAATTAAGAATATATGCTTTTCAAAAGAATCTTTTAAGGGAATGAAAAATAAAAAACAAAATGGATATCCTAAATATGTAAAGAAATCTCAAAACTCAATAATAAGAAAACCACTCAATTAAAAAAATGGGCAACAGATTCAAACAGACCTACACCAAAGTAGATATATGGATGGTAAATAAACACATGAAACAATGCTTTACATTATTAACATTGGATATGCAAATTAAGATCAAAATGAGATACCACTTAGCACTTATTAGAATGTCTCAAATTAAAAAGACTGTACTAAGCATTGGCAAAGATGTAGAGTAACTGGAACTCCCATGCCCTGTTGTACTTTAATGTTAAATGGTACAACTGCTTTGGAAAACAGTTTGACAGTTTCTAAAAATATTAAAACATACATTTACCATATGACCTAGCAATTCTGCTCCTGGATTTACCCCAAAGAAATGAAAGCATATGTTCACACAACAACTTGCACATAATATTTATAGAAACTTCATTTGTAATAGCTAAAATTGAAAACAATCTAAATTTTCATCAACTGGGAAGTGGATAAATTGTGGTATAACCAACCATATAATGGAATACTACTCAACAATTTTTAAAAAGGAATGAACTATTGATATACATCAACAACATGGGTGAATCTCAAAATAATTATATGCTTAATGAAAAGAGGAGCAAAAGAATACACACTGTATGATTCCATTAATTAAACACTAGAAAATGCAACTGACAGGAAGCAGCTCAGTGGTTGCCTGGAGAATGGAGCAGGGGGAAGTGGGTGGAATGGAAAGGAAGGGTTAATAGAGGGCATGAAGACATGTTCATTATCTTGGCAGAAATGATGGTTTCATTGGTATGTACATATGTCAAAATGTATTAGGTTATATAATTTCATTATGTCCACTTTATTGTTGTCAGTTATATTTCAATAAATCTGTTTTTAAAAACTTAAGACAACTCAATAAATAAATGAGGACAAGATTTGAACAGACAAAAAGATAAGCACATGAAAAGATGTTCTACACCATTAGTTATCACAGAAATGCAAATTAAAGCTATAACCACTACACACTCACTCAAATGCATATAATTTTTTAAAAAAACTGACAGTACCAAGTGCTGTCAAGGATGTGGGAAAATGGGACTCGCATACACTGTTAGTGGAAATGTAAAATGGTTTGCATTTGCAAACTTCCAAAATGCCACTTTGGAAAACAGCTTAGTAATTCTTTTAAATTAAACATAACACTTATCATAGGACCCAGAAATTACACTTCTAGGTATACACAAAAGAAACAAAAACAATATGTATATACAAAAACCTGTATGGGAATGTTTTCAGTATCACCAAAAACTGGAAACATTCTAAATGTCCTTAAACTGGTGAATGAATAAGCAAATTGGTTTATCCACACAATGGAGTATCACTCAGCAACAAAAAAAGAACAAGGTACTATACATAGCACATGGATGAATCTCAAATGAAGTGAAAAGAGCCAAATGCAAAAAAGCCACATACTGTATGATTTAATTTATATGACATTCGTAAGATAGCAAAATTATAGGTACAGAAAACAGATGAACAGTTGCTAGGGGTGAGTTTAAGGGGCATAATTTTGGGGGGTGATGGAAATTTTCTATAACTTGATTGAGGTACTTACATACAGAAGTGCACTAAAAATTGGGCAAATTTTGCTGTATGTAAATTATACTTTAAAAACCAGACTTAGATTAATTGTAAATGAATGAAAGGACACATTTTAAAAAACACACGTGTGAAACATGAAGGTAAAGCATGTCTGGTGCTGAAAAAATGAGCCTTAAATCTAACAAGGAAGACAAAGAAATGTCTCTCTCCCTTCTCCAGAGCAGAGGGTGCCTCAATTTTGAACCAGGATTTACAACACTGGGGCTTCAAATGCTTGCTCTCATGTTTCCCCGAGTTGTGCAAAAGATTCTGTCCTCCCTGGTGCCCCACCTAATTTTCTTTTTCTAATGGAAGCAGCTTTTAACCTTAGGACATTTCATAATCCAGGCCTTTGGCAAACACCAAATGATAAAGAATTTAGTGCTTTAGAAGGTGACATTCCTCCTTTTGAGTAACTCCTTTTCCCAAATGTCAAGATGTTCAGGCAAGGGCGCATACGTGGAATAAAAAAGACAGGATTTGAGTTGCTGGAGGCAGCATGCCTTGAATAGGATGCAGAACTAAGGGGCTGACCGGGGAGCTCATGCAGACTCCCATGGCACTTTTTGCAGGCAAAGGTGTGTAGGTCCTTGGATTCTGGACAGGTTCCAATTTGAGTAATTATGTTCCTTCTCCCTAAGTACCCCCTACTGTTTCTGGTGGATACAGAATTCTTATTCACTTCCTGTACTAAACTGATGTGTAAAGTTGCTGTGCAGCTGTTAAACAGCTGCCACATTCCTCTCCATATATAGTCTCTAAAGCACTTTTGGATGAAAGGCGCTATATAAACATATTTTATGATCATGTATTGGTTGCCTTTCTACTTAGTAGTAGCTTTTGTGAGGTTCTAACTATCAAATCCAGATCTATATTCCACAGCACATCAATGTTTAATTTCTTCTCCTTCCTGCTCCCCAACTCCCTCCAGACAACAAGACTCTTACCACAAGGGTCCGTAGACAGAGGGTCCCTGCAGGAGCACGGGGGTCCAAAGCAGCTACAAGATCCCACACTTTAATTTTTCTAAAGATCAAAAAGGGGACAAATATCTTAGTTAAAAGCAAAATTAAGGGAACACAGGAAGAATAGCAAAATATCATGGCAATAAATATGTATGGTGAATATAGTTTATATGATAAATGCAGCTCACAGAAGTATATAAAAACGTTTCTGTTTTGGAGACTTGGTTCTTGCATTCATTCTTGGGTAGAGGTTATTGGTCTTAACAGGGGAAAATGTACGTGATTAACCTATAAATGAGAAACAGGTTTGCTTTCACCAAACTGATGAAGACAGTAAACAGTAAAGTTACACCATACTTTGGGACCAGAAGGAGATCTTATACATTAGACCTCTAAATGATATAAGAGATCTTAGACCTGGAAACCAATAACTCTGAGGATCTTCTTTCTGGTCAATTCTAATAGTGGCCCAGGTCACATGTACTACATGACTGAGGAACATTTAAGAGCTCTGTAGTTTATATAAACAAATCCTCATATTTTGATTTAAATAAGAAAAATTTAGCCCCTCTTAAAATTAATTACAGGTCATGTCTCCTCAAGGTAAATAAAAGACAAAACCCAAGAAAAGTGGGTACAGATCAAAACCATGGGAAAGAGAAAAATACAACCTCGGACCTAGCTGGAACATGTCATCACATCCTTGAACAATTTCCCAAGAGTATGAGAGTGATGGCTGACTCAAAGCAGAGAAGTAGGTCTGCTACGCTTCCTGCTGCTTGAGCTTTCTTAATATATCACTATAGCCAGTTCACACACTAAGACAATATTGTTAAGTTAGTTTCTGATATTTAAAAAGCTGCCAATACTTGAACTATAGCTGTCTACTCCTCCAAATCAGGTACCTTGACAAGAAGAAATGATAAAGGGACCTTCATAAGTGAACACGCTTTTGTAAGAATTTACTATGTGCTGAGCCGGCCTAGTGGCTCAGTTGGTTAAGAGCACGAGCTCTGAGCAATAGGGTCGCCGGTTTGATTCCCACATGGGCCAGTGTAGCTCCAACTGAGCTAAGCTACTGCTGAGCTGCCAACAGGTGGCAGGATGGCTCAGCTGGTGAGAGCACGTGCTCCTAACAACAAGGTTACCGGTTCGACTCCCACATGGGATGGTGGGCTACGCCCACTTAACTAAGATTGAACACGGTACACCTTGAGCTGAGCAGCTGTGAGCTGCGGACAGGCAGCTGGAGGGTGACTGGACTTGGAGCTGAGTTAGCTGCGCCCTCCACAACTAAGACTGAAGGACAACAGCTTGGTTGTTCCCCTTCCCCAATACCCCAATAAAATCTTAAAAAAAAAAAAAAAGAATGTACTATGTGCTTGGCATTGCTAGACATGGGATCCATCCACAACATGAATGGATTCTATAAATCACTGGAAATTAAACTGAAGAAAATAAATATTACTGAACTCATTGTAACTGAAATGCTAGAAGTTAAGAAGCAAGAGAGCTGCACTTTTAGGAATCATTCAAAGATATCAAAATTCAAGACCCTACCACACTAAGACCCACAGATATTGCCCTCCAGTATTTCAGTTTTATTAATAAGTCACTATTTTATATGCATATCCTGTTATACTAGGTTTGGCCAGTTCTTTGCTTTATAGGGCAAAACATAAATATGTAACCAACAAAAAAAAGAAATATTAACAAAAATAATGAGCAAACAAGTGCAATTAAATGATTGGGAAGAATATTTTGGAAAAGAGTAAACGAAGTGGTGAATACATAGATCAGACACAAGAACTATTGTATTGAGTCCTTTCTGTGAAATCTATAATCTTTTAGAGAAAAGGAGAGGCTATATTTAACATCCTAAGGCAGGAGGGATTTGGATGTAGATTTTTTTTTTAACCCTATTAGCTACTCACCCATCATACGCCCCACTGACTATCCTCTTGTTATCAAATCGAATACAGCGCACCAATTCCTCATGGCCTTCTAACACTCGTAAACATGCACCACATTCTATGTCCCATAATCTGGAAAAGAAAATTGAGTCAAGTAGAATTTTCATGTATTCTTTTATAAGCTTGGGATGTTCTAAGATAATATACTTCATATGTCTTTAAAAAATCCACAAAAATAAAATAAATCAACAGCCATACAAAAATGTACTGCTTTCAATGTAATTTACTTCCTTTCTGCCATATAACTCAGGTAGAAAAATGTATGATTTAAGTTCAAACATAGTATATATTTCCAAAGCACAATGCTTTATATAATTCTGTAACCAGGGTCTCCGAGGCGTAAAAGGAATGAATTCAATGCACGCAACTGCCTGTGAAGGAAATGACCAAGCCAAGAAAAGCAATGCTTCCTGAAATCACCAAGAAGAATGAGATGAAGAGTGTCAGGGACATGGTGCCCTCAAACTGTGTCCGTCCACCTTTTACTGATGACACTGTGCTTTCACCCGCTATCCAGGACAATCTTTCTCATGTAATGGAAATGCAAAGTAAGTTCTCAAAAACTTTTATATACTAACATAAAAAAACTGCATGCTTTCAGACCAATCCAAATGATTTTTCTAGGAATGAAAATTTCCTTAGATATAACAATAGCTCTATCTGTTGTTTTTTTAATGACCTTTCCATCCTCTCAGTACTTCTTTGAAGGAAGGAAGAGGATTGATAAATCGTCCAAATTCTATTCATATCTGTGTCATTCATCTTTGTGAAGGGAAAACACCCAAAATACTTGAATTTGTGGTTCTTTCTAATCTCAAAGACTGGTAATTCCCTGGCCAATTATGCAATGCTAAGAAAACAAAATGCAAAATTTCTAGTAGGGAAACAAATCGTTTTTCATTTTTTTTTTTTTTAGAACAGTGGCAGAGATAAATGGCGTTTAGCTATTTATTAGTACTTCTCAACTGCAGATAGGTGAAAGTTAATGAGAAGGGCTTTCAACCTCAATCTATTTAGCTCTCCTGCCCACTTCCTCATTCAAGCAGTACCTTTTAAATAGTTCTATCTGGTGATAAAACTATTACAGGAAGGAAACACACCAACAAAAGGTTTGCTGTGCTGCCTCTGTTAGAGGAAACTTTTTGCCTGTAAGAAGCTACTGATAGGAAAAACATCTTATTATAAACATAACACAGTTGAAGATCTGTTTGAACTGTGCACACACAATGAATGGCAGGATAATACTGATCCTTTCTGGGCAAGGGCACTTGCTGCTTACCTGATAGTGTTGTCAGACGAGCCACTCACGACCAGCCTGTCTCTGTACTGCAAACACGCAATGCCACGTTTGTGTCCATTTAAGGTCCTTACAAATTCACAAGTACTTGTGTTCCATACCTAAAACAGAAAATAGCATTTGGCAGTTGATTTGACACTTTCATTAGTAAAATCTATCGCAACTGGAATCTTGGGAAAGTAGAAAATAGGATGAACCATTAGGGAGAAGTCAACTTCTCAAGCCAAACGGAACCAAACCAAACAAATGACAAGTTTGATTCATGGTAATACAGGGCTCATTTGTAGTTGGTTGCTATCACATGAGGATTCCTCAAATTGACTTACTTTTATGGTGTTAGTCTGGTCTTGCAGACAAATTTTCTTGAACCTAAATTTACCCCTGCCCCTCTTACACTTGCCATTATTTATAGTAATAAAATACTAACCAAAATTGTCTCATTCATTATCTTTTTACATAAAGACTAGTACCTGAATTAAATAGTGATGTCTAAATATGAAATAGCCCTTCATCATATTTTCACATGAACTCCCCTACTCTAAGTTGGAGACTTACTGAAAAATGCCTTATTACCTTTATGGTCCTATCCCCAGATGCAGAAACAATGTACTTGTCATCGAAGTCTACGACATTGACGGCAGCGCGATGTCCGACAAGCACCCTCCGGAGGGTGATATCAGTTGGGGAGGCCATATCCCAAACAGCAATGGAACGGTCTTTGGAGCAGGTCACCATCATGCCGTTATTGAAACGCAAGTGCAGAACTGCTTCACAATGGTGAATCAACGTGTTTAGCATTTCACCTGTATTTACATCCCACACCCTGGAACAAACAACATTAAGCAGGTTATCTGAGATTTTGATGGAACATACATTACCATCTATTACCAGTATTTGACCACTGCAGTTCCCAATCCTCCTGCCCCATTTTCATAGCTAGTATTATACCCCGCTCTTCTTTTGCAACTCTGAAGTTGAGCTGAGGCAGAGAGTACTGATGAACCACGGGGAAGTGGTAGATAAGAGGACTGGATTGAGACAATGGGAAAGGAAGGGGATGAGATGCTGCCAATGTGAAGTACTTAAGACATGCTACTTGAAATCTGGGCAAGTGGAGGGGGTAGGAGTGAGGTAGCAGCCACCATCACCTACTAATTGGACCCAGACTTCAAGATGATTATAAAACCGACATTCAATCTGATACCATTAATAAGACATTTAAAACTGGGACTCTGATTAATAACAGCCGCATTAGTGGATAGCCCTCAGGAACTAGAACTGATATAGGCCAAGAAGCTTCTGGAACAAACTGACTTGAGCTTGATGCCCTGAATCTTCATTTCACCACACAGCTTAAGGCCCAAGATTAGCTAGACCCTAAGTCTACGACCCCTTTTCTGTGCTTTGATTGGTGGAAGGGATTGAGAATAGCCACCCCATTGTAAATATGGGCTTCACATCAGAGCATGGGACCCGTGGATAGCTTGAGAATTTTGTGTGATGATACACAGCATTTGACTTTGATAACTCTATTTTTGTATATTTACTTTGGTTTTTGTAACACATTTTCTTTCCTTTTCCAGTTTAACCCCCTTTTTAGGAAACCATTTTTTCCCTTGTCCTATAAATGATGTTAGTCTCTAAGATGTTTCAGCTTCCTTCAGGCACTCCACAAGCACCAATAAATGTTAAATGTCGATAACTATAAGAACTGAGTTTGCTATGCCTTTAAGTCAAAAGATAAGAAATAGGAACAGCTTTTTCTATTCACAGAGGATATCTGAGAATGGTAAACATTTAACTTCAGAGAATCTAACAATGCAGTTAACTGATTTTTTTTTGTTGCCTTTTTTTAAAGTTACTTTTGATGCATTATGTTTGCTAAATCCTTTAGCTTAAGGCAAAATTCCTAACATAGGTTTCCAGCAGTGCTGTTGGTACCCAGAACTCAAGCTACACTGGACTCCAGCAGCATAATGGCTGTGTCATCAAATCACTGGTGCCTCTGGAAATTGAAGGCCCCTCCCTTAGTAAAGCTTGCAATTAAAAACTGCAGGGACAGCAGGGGAGGGGCTGGCAAAGAGAGAGCCTTGCTCACCTGTACAGATTTTAAAGGAGATAATGCGTGACTGCATTACAGTTATAGCCACCTGAAAAGAAGGCTTCATTCCATTCATGTCACTCCCCTGTGAGGTGGTTTTTTTAAAGAATGCAAGGTTTACCAAGTTTCTACGATGGACGATTCCCCCGCATCAAAATAGAACACGTAATTTCTTAAATGTACAAAAATGTAAACTTACCTTAATCATTCCTAATTCAAGTTTTCTAGCTCTAGATTGACACAATGATGGGGGGAGATGATGGTTTATTCTTTAGTTTTGCAGTTTCAGAACTGTGTTCATGCAGATACATACAGAATGACTAGTGATGACAAAGAACAGAGTGGATCTGGCATTTCAGAGTTCAAAAGATTGTTTGAAATTGTCTACCTGACTGTAGAATCCGATGATCCAGTGATGATCACCCTCTCGTCATACTGGAGACACAGCACAGAACCCGTGTGGCCTGTGAGAATTCGCCTGCATTCCAATGTGCTTTTATCCCAGATCTAGGATGGCAAATAAGATCCTTTTGATCACTGTGATAATGGGGTGCTGCAGAGACTTGCTGGCTCTATTATGTGTTTGATTCCCCAAAAGAATCAAAGCCCAGAGAAGTGTGGAATGCATTCTTTTCTCTAGGTATAGCTAAGCATCTCTATATATGTGGCTTTAGTACTAATGCAGACTTTATCCTTTTCATCAAGGAACAGAGGTAGCCTATAATTATGTGAGGGCCAAAAGAGTAGCCCATTCAGTGTACTTCAAGAAGAGAATTTAACAATCCATTTGTATGCTCTTCTGGGTGGGGGGGGGCGGCGGGGGCGAAGCAGGTCTCTATCCTTGAAGGAAATGTTTTTGGCTTTGGAACCGGAAACAATCTAAAAATGCTCACTTACTTCCTGGAAATAATATTTAAAATGTACGCTTTGGATTGCTTAATGAATGTGGTCAACCTTCGCTCCTTCCCACAACTGAAGGGAGCTCACCTTGATTGTGTTGTCTCGAAGGCCGCTTACTATCTTCTGATCATCATACTGTAAACAGTAAACACCTTTGCTTGTTTCACTTCGGCAGTGGATTCTCTGTAAACTATGTCTTCCACATCTCCAATTAGATTCTATTGTCTGAGAAGAAGGAATGGTAAAGAGGCAGCAATTAAGAAAGGACCAGAACTGGGCCGGCCGAGTGACGCATTGGTTAAGAGTTGGCTCGGGACGCCAGCTCTGAGCAGCAGGGCCCCAGTTCGGATCCCACATTAGGGTCAGTGATGCTGCGCGCTCTACAGCTAAGATAGTGAACAACAGCTCAACCTGGAACTAGGTTGCCATGAGCCGCTGGCAACAGCATAGCTGCAGTGGGCTGCCGTAAAGCTACTGTGAGTGGCCGGCAGCCAGTGTGAGCTGCCAAGAGCCGCTGTGAGCGACCAATCTGCCTCACCCGGGAAGAGCGCAATGATCACAATACCAACATGGGCCAGTGAAGCGACGTCCTCCACAACTACACTGAAGAACAAAAGGACAGCAACTTGTCTGTTACCCTTCCCCCAATTCCCCAATGCTGTTCCCTCCCCCAATTCCCCAATAAAAATCTTTAAAAAAAAAAGAGAAAGGACCAGAACTAAACGTTTTTTTTTTCAGAACTAAACTCTTATCTGACTTTCATGGCAACCAATGACAAATGCTCAATGCTTCACTCTATTGGATAGAACTTAAGGCAAACTAAAAAATGTTTTTAAAAAGCTACTATTTAAAATTATAAAACATTTTTCCATTTGTAAAGTAAATAAAGATTTATTTTCTACAACTCTCCTGCATATAACTTGTTCAATTAAATAATAAACCTGGGGGAAAGACTGCTCACCGACAGGGGGAAAGCTATGAAGCACATGAGGTTATTGTTCAGTCTTCTTCCTACACACGTGGTGGCCATTTCTACCAGTGAACTTTCATGGAGGCTCAATTCAGAATGTATCTGAATATCAGGTTATAAGTACAACTTTAAGAGTCTCACTATTGTATGAAGACATCACAGTTTCTCTCACTCTCACTCTCACATCTATTTATCTATCAGTAAACAACTTTTAAACACAAATTTTTGCCTGGTAATTCACTATATTTTACCTACTCTTTCTCTTATAAAGAAATTGATTTTTAACCTACATTAATAAACCTTAATGGGCTTGCTGTAACAATGCTGTTACTTAAGAATACTGATGATTCTCTACTATTTGGGAAAAATCCAAATACACATAGATTCTTACCTCAATGTCTTGTATAATTTTAGGATAAAGTGCTCTATAAAAAGAGTTGGGAGGAGCATTCCCATCCGGAGGTTTGTTTTTGAATAAATACTGTCCCCTAAAAAACACAAATATTTCCCAATAAAAATCATATTATGCATCATAAGGAGCTTCATATTTCTTCAAAGTGTTTTCAGTTACCATTCCGCACAGTCTCCATAACTAGCCTGCAGAGGCATGAAGTTCGATTTCAGGAGTGCCACCTCAAGGAGTCACTTTCTGAGCTCTAAGGAACTGGGCCAACACTGATTTGCTTTTGGGCAAAACATGATGATTTTTGGTGTAAAATATCAGAGTGTCAAGTCTTCAGAAATATTATAATGTCAGTATAGAAACAGAATATATATATATATATATATATATATATATATGCAATCAGAATTCATCTATTGGTCTGTCAGACCCCTGGATAGGCAGATTGAAAATTTTGTTAGTGATGATAACTATTACCTTTGAACTAGGCATATGCCCCACAGTTTTTTTGTTTTTTGGATTTTTTTTGCAGTCTTTTTTTTTTCACAGTGTAAAGCTGTGCCAGTCAGTGGAGCCTAGCATCATGGGCAGCAGGAATGCTTCTTTGTCATAGAGAACACTTTTTCTAGTCTTCATTTATGTGGGTTAAGGTGCGTTGGCGATTCAGGCACCCAGGTTGCTGGTGATCAGTGCAGCTATGCTTTAAAAGGAGCAACGTAGTTCACTTTGACAGAAAACAAAGGGATCACAGAAGTGGCCAGCAGCAGGTATGGAAGATGAAAAGAAACGCCTAAGAGCATTGTGCTGTCAAGTCTAAGTCATGAAAATGACTTTTACAGGTGTGTTTCTGGCTACGTACATATGTACATGCATTTTAGTGCCTTTCCTTGATTCCAGTGAGCAACATTTGTTAGCATCTCCTTCCTTATGACAGCACATCTTTGGAATACTCATATCCCAAGCTAGATCTTTGCTACAAAAAAAATCAGTAAATGGCAATCACTTCCTGCTGGGTAAAAAATTTAATTCCTCATCCTGAAGTTAAGAACCCACCAAACACGGTGTGGAAGCTAGTAAACCCCACTATGGGTGTACTAACTGCTGTTCTCACTGGCACCGTGCCTTGCAAAGTGGAGATAGGCAGAAATGCCTTTGAGTGTAATCCTGGCACCCGAGAAATCATGTTTTCTCTGGGCCAGTCATCCACTCTTCCCTCTATAGCTCCATTACAATATAATTAATTGTTCAATGTCTCCAGGAGTGCTTCTCCCCTGCCCTCTTCCTATTATACACCTTGAAAATTCGTAGAGAAAATTTCCTATCAGGAAGGTAGCTGGCTCTAACTTCTGTGTTAATATGGACAGGGAAATCTGCAATGAAAAAACTGAAATAACAGTTTTCAAAAAGGGACAAACAGGAGCAAGAAACATGATACACCAACATAAAGAAAAGGGCACACAAGGCATTATAAAATAATTCTGGCTTAAAGGTACTCTAAACGACCTTGTTCTATAAACACATTGCAGACAAACAGATTTTTAATGAAGAGATTCTAAATCTGATTAATAATTATAATTTAGTAATTTTAACTCCAACATCCTTTAATGAGGTAGGAATCACTATATTAACTTCACAGCTAAAGAAGAAATCAAACGTCAGGGAGGTCAAGTAATTTGCCTAAGGTCACAAAGCTAGTGAGTAGAGTTCAGATTTGAATCTAAGTCTGGCTTCAGCTCCCATACTCTTAACTACAGTAATACCTTGGTTTGCAAGCATAATTTGTTCCGGAAACAAACTACTCGTATTGTAAGACATCACTCGTTTACCATGTTAAAATGTATTAGAAACGTTTGCTCGTCTTGTGGAACACTCACAAACCAAGTTACTCCCAATCCAAGTTTTTATTGTACTTTATTATCTCTCAATGCCCACCATTCCTCAGAGATTTCTGTCCCGCCTTTTAATCTCTGGCAATTATACACAGGCACCCAGGATTTTCTTCATATTCAATGAAACTATCTTTACATCCTAAGAGAAATCAAATAAACTTCTGATCTCGTTTTCTACCACACTGTATTTACCAGGCCTTACAAAAGTATATGAATTTCTTCCAATCAAAGGTGCTAGGAACAAGGGTGGCTAGGTATTGAGAATGGGTTTCTCAGTCTATATCTATGTTGTAAGTCAAAACCTTTTATGACGGAAGCTCTTTGACAACAGGGACCACTTCCGTATGAAATGCCTAGTACCTTTGAGAGTACATGATAAATGCTAAATATTAAATTCAGAATGTTACCATAAAATGTGATCCGCTGATTAAGAAAATGGACTTTTCCCAAGTGGTCTTTTATCATACTTTTAAGAGTTAGTATTACTGAGCAGAGAGAGCATGTTCTGTATTATTCAAGAGAGAAAATGACAGAGTTCATGTCCTAGGGACAGACTGTCAAATTCATCTAGATATAAAATACAACAGCAAAGTGGAAGTTAAATCCAAAGCTTTATTAGAAAACTGTATTGACTTATTTATTTTTGGTTGGAGGAAATGGAAGAAACTTTCAAAGACAGCATTTGGGGAAAGGTATAACAGAAACACTTTATTGACATGGTAGGCTTGGTAAGGCAACTTGAAAGAATGAAAAACTGGTCATAGACTACATTGTTTTTTCAAGTGGGGGAGGACGCTAACAGGAAGAAAGGCAACATGTAAAAACAGAAGCAGCCACAGAGAGTCAAGGGGACACTGGAGGAGGTCTTCATGGGGTAGACAAATATTTGTATTTCATGGGGCGAGATCAAGTTAAGAAGACAAATGGGATCAAAGACAAAGGAATGTGGGCAGAAGTCTGAAGTACACTCAAAAGAGCAGGAATGGGCTCCTAGGGTTGAAGAGATAGGGGAAAAAGTGACAGATAATTAGAGCTGGATCCTGGACTATTCTCAGCTATACCTTTCACATACCCCTTTAAAAGGCTAAAAAGTCATCTCTCCAACAATCTTATTGTTATTTTTTTCCTTTGTAACATAACAGCTCTTGCAGTTTAGTGCCAACCCTAAGCAAAATTGTGAAACCTATGTTTAGCTTTGGCATCTGCCAAAATCTGCCCATCTACTCCTTGTTTTCCCTATCTTCAAAAAAATACTTTGTAAACTCCCAATGTCTGATAAAGGTTCACTGTCATTTACAGTCCAAACAGGAACAAGTGTTTTTAACAGGGAACAAAACCTTTTTCAGCTATGGGAATGAATCTCTGTAACGGAAATTTCAGGTCAGGGGTTATTTAGAGTTTCTTTTCTTTTTTCCTTTTCTTTTCTTTTTTTCCCCCTGAGGAACAGATGAATATTCCTAGCTGCCCTAAAATTTTCACATGTAAGCAACTGCCTGCTCTATTTCTAAGGCTGGTCTTGACACCCTTAACAAAATAATGGACTTTGAATGCCATACAACTTATACTATTTTGTTTTCTTATAATATAAAGAGGTTATTTCCAAAGTAAGAAATAAGTTATGAAAGATAAGGTTTCTATTTTTCTATATAGTGAAATAAGTGAGGATAAGAAAAACATATTTTGGTCTGGCCGAGTGGCTCAGTTGGTTAAGAGCTCACTCAAGAGTTTGAGCTCTGAGCAACAGCGGTTCGAGTCCAGCCCGAGTTGAGCAGCCACTGAGCTGCCAACAGGTAGCAGATGGCTCAGCTAAAAAAAAAAAAAAAAGAAAAGAAAAAGAAAAAGAAAAACATATTTGGAGGGCCGACCGAGTGGCTCAGTTGGTTAAGAGCTCGCTCAAAAGTGTGAGCTCTGAGCAACAGCGGTTTGAGTCCTGGCCCGAGCTGAGCTGCCAACAGGTGGCAGGATGGCTCAGCTAAAAAAATAAATTAAAAAAGAAAAAAAGAAAAAAAGAAAAACATATTTGGAAGGAGAAATAATAATATGCTCTAATTTATACAATTTTTACATAGCCAAAGAATTGCCTGGTGTTTACTTCCTTTAATGGCATTTGGGAGAAATTTTAAAGTCTTTCTAGTAGCTAGAATGACAGAAACTTCTTGAAGCACTATAATATTTAGAGGTCATTTTGTTTATTATATATTATTGAATTTCAAAAATGAAAAAAAGAAAGGCAGCCAACTATATTTTTATGAAAATTGCTAAGAAAAGCTGATCTTCCATTCTTAACTATTTTGCATCTCTTTATGATCCAAGATAAACAACTGATAAAATTAATTGCTCAGGAGGATAACACTGAGCACATACGAGTATATGCCTGCTGGTGCATATCTATCAACTAAAATAATGTTACCATTATTTTATTTATGAAATATTCACACCTTTCTTATAATGACATTCTAGAGACATCCTCTGAGAGCAAATTATATACGAAAAAAGACATTTTCCAGAAGTTCTAATGAAATGGTACCATTTCATCAAGAGAATAACAAAATTGGTGAAGTCTCAGGCTGCTAACTATATAATGACTTAAGGAATTCAAGATTAAGCAGTAAAATCTTGAGAAAGTATAGGAGTCTTATGAAGAAACAATTATTTATACTAAATTCAATTTTTTGCTTTTCCTGATGGCTACAGTTCTTATTCTAGTTGGGCATAAAAATAATTTTTATCACAAAGGTGATAAAATATCACAGGCATGGGCTAAAGGCAAGGAATCTTCTGAAGGAGAAAATAATTATTTGTTCTGGGCTCTTTTAGGGGAAAGCTGGATCTGACGGCTTCTATGTGATTCAAAGTCATCTACTTGCCTTATAAATTGCCCACAGCCCGTCTTCAGGGTACTGTTTCTGCCCAGAGAACAGAATGCTTTAAACAGGAGAGCTGGTCAGTTTTTCATTTTTTTTTGCAAAGCAGTATTAAAACATTATTATGTCATTTATGAGTGACTGGTTAGAAGAAAAACTGCCGAGTACATGAACAACTATTTTATTTATTTATTTTTTTCGCTAGAAACTGTATTAAATGATAAACAATCTCACTGGTTGCCAACAATATTCCAATGATTCAATGGCCAGGTCCTGAAGCTCCGTAACAGTAATAAAGTTAAAAGGCTTACCACCCTCTTCGTTCTGCCAGGCCTCTCCACAGAGAATCTGTCCTGACCATTCTCTCAATGAGCTTTTTCCATAACATGCCATCAGATGTCACTCGGTACCATTCCTTGCACACAAGTTCAGCAGCACATAGTGATTTGGCATCCAGATATGACAGAATGTTCTCAGCAATGTGATCCAAACCCCGAGCTTTTGGAGAGGGGCAAGGGAAGAGGAGGCAAGAAGAAGAACATAGGTGAAGAATGCTTTTTTACAAAAGGTCCTTTAAAACAAAACAGCATTTATTTTGATATGAAGGCACAACGCTGTCCCTAGTGTGGTCCAGTTTCTTTTTCAAACAGATTGGGTAAAATGCATGTCAATAATTTTTCCATAAGGTTACAGAAATGAACAGTATTTTCTATCTTCCTTTAGATAAGAAAGTTAAAGCTAACATCCAGCAAACCCCCCAAGACATTAAAAATAAAAAGGATTCCAGAAAACAATTCACATCTATCTGTATGGATTTCAGCACTAGGGGATGTTCTACGGATGGCATCTCAAACTCTGTGATTCAGGCCCCCCCAAATCTCTATATTAGGTCCATTTCTCATTCTGTTTCTATTACTGCTGCAGTTCCAAAGCTGTTCAGTAAAAGAAATATCCTTTAAATGTACTGGGGGAGAGGCACTAAGTCAGAATGTGCTGGGTTATAGAATTTTGGGCATGCAGAAAGGGGAGAAGGAGGAAATACAGATTGGTATAGAACATCCCGAGAGGAAAGACAGAGAGGTACGTTTAAGTTCAAGGATGAGTTTAATTTCAGATGTTTTTTAAAAAAACTATATTTGAGACTAGCTGCTGCTATAAAACCTAAATGACAGTTGACCAAAAATGAAAAAAATCCCAGACCAATAGATAACTTGGTTAGAATTTCAGAGACTATTTTGTAGGATATACAGAAAAAACAGTGGAAGCAGATCTTGGGCTGTGTAAACTAGATGGCTTCCCAATTAAAATTCTCTACCACCCAAATTTGTACTGAGGCCTCAGAGGAACAGAACCTTTAAAATAAGATGATTGTGCTAATAAACGTTTCGGCTGCTGTTCTAATTCACAAGTGAAACAAAAATATTCAAAGTTATTTCTACTTACAGGTTACATAACATAGGTTTGCTAAAGAATTCTATAGTGCAGAAGGATACCTTCATACTTTGGCTCCCTTAGGCACAGACTTAAACAGGAAAGAGAATATCAGATTTTATTTTCTGCCTTTCTCCTGAATCATACAATACAAAGACACACTTGGATGCCATCAGCAACAATCCAAATGTGTTTAAACATTATTCTAATTATAAAGATTGTATGGATATCAGTCACATTTTTCAGCAGATTTGGAAAAGAAAGCATTAAATGGATCTTGCTTGGCTGGCATCACATGTTCATATTTAAGCTAAGCAGATGGAGGCATCCATCACCTCATTCTTATTAAAGGAACATAACTATATGCCAATTAAAGATATAATAATTAGTTCTTCATGCAAAATACAGTGATGGAACAATTCTTGCATCTTTATGGTGAAACTTTCTACGCCAGGAGAAGTTTCCAAAATCCATTCCTGTGTTTTTAATGGCTGCCATCAAATTGCTCCTGATCTTTCACTATGTCCCTATAATAAGTCTTTGGAAGTAATTTCATCTAACACTCCAAACAAACCCATTACATTAATGGATTACAGGCATTTTTTGAAGTAGTTTGGTTTACTACATGTAGCCAGATGGCATAGGTTTATAAGTTAAAATGGCTGTAAAGCATTAGACTGATGATTTAATATCTTATAAAGCGGTCAATAGATACACACCAGGGATCAGTATTAGGCAAACGATACACTCGTCTAATCAACTCCTGTTAATTCTTAGTGGTATATGCTTGAGATAGCAGCATGTATCAGTGAATGGGGAGAGCACAGTCATGAGGTACACACAGGCTGTTTGCACAAAGAAATCCAATGAGTGAAGAGGGGGCAGAAATTTATTCTATTTAACAGAAGATGCAGGTACAAGTTCAGCTTTAAAATGGTTATTCCTAAGATATAAACAGACATTTCTTTTGTTTTAAAGGGCAATTTAAATTGCAATTTTGGAAAAACAAATTTTTAAAAAAGATACAATTGGCAAAGATTATGCAAAGTGGTAATAAGCAGTTTTGGGGGTGGTATAAGTTGGTATATTTTTCTTAGAGAATAGTTTGGCACATGTAATAAAAGCTTTAAAATGCTCATAATTCTAATATAGGAATCTCAATTCTAGTGTTTTTCCCTAGGATGTCCAAAAGAGTAATGAATAAGAATGAATGTCCGCCACAGAATAGTTTTTAATAGGAAAAACATTTTAAACTACCTAAATGTTCAATAAAGAGATTAAATAATATGTTTCAACCATCACAAAAAATACATAATCCCATAAAAACTATGTTTTTAAAGAACAAATACTTAAGAGAATACATTAAGAGATCACAGTAAGAAAAAAATGTTATAAACACTTATGACCCTAGCTTTAGAGGGAAATATATACATCTAGAAAAAACAGAAAGGCTACATGCCAAAATATTGGTAGCACATTAGTAGTTCTCTCTGAATATTGGGGTTCTGAGAAATTTTATTTTTATATTTAAACTTTTTTGAATTTTCTAAATGTCCTATAATATAACCTGTATAATCAGGAAACAACTGAAAAAAATAAAAATAAGATATGATAGTTTAGAGACTCACTCATCTTTGTACTATTTTTTCTTTTAAAATAAGCTTTTAACATAGATGAGAACCTTGTATTTTCCTGAGATAGCATTTCCCCCCAAAACTGATGCCTATGCAGTGTCCTACATGACCATCAAGAATTCAGTAAAACCACCACAGTACCCTCCACGAAAAGCATTTAAAGTGTATGTGTGCACGCGCACATATATAAGTGTATTTCTGTACATATTTAAGTATATGTATATTTTAAAAACATATTTATATATCTATATCTATATCTAGTTTACAATAGCTATTTGATTACTTTGCACAGTGAGATTGTAAAGCCTGGAATTGAGATATTTAAATGTCACAGCAAAGCTTCTGAGATACTCTTCTTTCTAAAAATACTCAAAAATGTTTCTTATTCATTCTTACAATTTAAATATTCTGGTGATAAGCTTGCTTAGAAATCCAAATCCACATACATAAGTTAACATCTTGAAACTAAGACACATTATAAAAGACGTCTCAAACCAAGTAACACCTCAGAAAAGATGTTACTTGGACCGGTGTGTGGGTAAAAACAGGGCAAATACAACAGCATGAGACAGGAAGAAGACAGGGAAAAGAGGAGACTCTATTTCCAGAGTTGAATTTTTTTTGTGTTTATACCCCAAGAAGGTACGATTAAAGGATCAGTTTGTAAAAATCAAGCCAATAAAGAGTTTTCAAAAGAGAGGTGTATAGCTGAAGATCCAGTACCATTACCAGTGTAACACATCTTCCAGGCAAATTAATGGCTCACAAACACCCGTAGACATACCTGGCAGAGCAGTTATGAAATCCCTCTGCAACATAGGTTTAAGATACGAGTTTATGTGTCCATGTTGGTAATGACACATTTGGGATATAAGATGTTCCACAAATTCCACTTGATCGGACTCTGACCACTGCTCAAAATATTTGACACACAGTTCCTTTTCTTTCTCATAGCTTGCTGAGAGCTTCCGTTGCTTGGGCACAATCATACTGGAAGTGCCATTGGCAAGTTTTGTCTGTAGAAAGGGTAGATTAAAAGAAACATATAACAGTAAGTATCGAAAATGAGGGAAATGTATAATTTTCTGGTCTGGCATGCTATGTTATGTCTATATGACAGAGCTCACTCTGTTACTCTATCAGTAATTGGACGTTTGTGAATAGCAATTACATGGAAAACCACAGAAATACCACAGTAAGTTGGTAAATCAGGAATACTGCTGGACAACTAGGCATCCATTTCCAAAAGTTCACAGGAAAATATTTTTTGGAGATATACAGATGAAAACCGAAAGCTGAAAGCATGTTGTTATTACTATCAAGCAAGATAGCTAATTTGCTTTTTCTTGTATACACCAGTTACTGGACATTTATACAATTACTTATTCACAACTTAGTTTTTAATAGTCAAATAAGAAATCCTCCATACAAAAAAAGGCCAATGAATAATACGAGACTGGTACCTTTGGAGCTAAAGCTTAAACAACATTTATATGCTTAATCTTTCCTTCCAAAAAATCCCATCTTTGCTGTTATCAAATTTATATGCCATTACGTCCTTTTTATGGTTCAGTCAATAAATATTAATTGAGCACCTACAATGTGCCAAACACTGTCCTCGGTGCTAGGAATATAACACTGAACAAAAATAACATAATCTCTATCATCACTAACAGCAGTTAAAAACATAACCAAATAAATAAAAAATATAATGGCGATAATGCTATGAAGAAAAGTAAAGAGGGATAAAGGGATACAAAAAAAAGTATATGTTATCACAGTAGACAAAACTGTAAAATGGTCTCCCAAGGCTCTTGGCCCCTTGTGTACATACTTCCTTCACTTATTCAAGCAAGCACATAGGTATTGCTATGATTTAATTAAGGCCCCAAATCAACTGACCTTAAGACTGGGAGATTACTCTGGTGGGTCTGACCTAATCAAATGAGCCCTTTAAAAGCAGAGTTTTCTCCAATGGGTTGAAGAGAAAGGAGACCATGTGGCAAGGAATACCGTCAGCCTCTAGGAGCTGACAGCCCGTAAGGAAACGGGGATCTCAATTCTACATAGGCAAGGAACTGAATTCTGCCAATAACAGGCTGAGAAGAGGATTATCCCCCAGGGCCTCCAGATGAGAACTCGGCCTGGCCAACCCTTGATTTCAGTCTTGTGATACTCTGAGCCAAGGACCCAGCCATGTTGTGCCAGACTTCTGATCTAGGGAACTGTGAGCTAATGGATGGGTATTGTTTTAACTTGCTAAGTTTGTGGTAATTTGTTATGCAGCAATTAAAAAAACCAAAAAACTCTAATATTGTTATTTAAGGCTAAGGGGCCTGAGATAGTTTCCCCAAAGAGATGACATTTGAACTGAGGCATGAAGGAAATGAGGAACTAGATGTTTTGTTACATGAGCTAAGAATGGTCTAGGCAATAGGAATTTTGAGAGCAAAGGTCTGAGGCAGTCTGGCATGTTCAAGAACAACAAGAGGGCCCAGGGTGTCGAGCCAAGTGAGCAAGGAGAAATAAAGTTGGAGAAGTAGTCCAAGCCAGATCACCCAGGTCATTTACATGGTGGGAGCTAATCTCCAAAGAGAGCCCGAAACAATACCATCCCTCCCTGAACACAAATGCTTCTCCCATCAAGCGGTGGAGTTTGTCTTGGAATCTGGGCTTTGACTAACAGAATGTGGGGCAAGTGACATTCTGGGACTTCTGAGCCCACGCAGCTTTTGCTTACTCCTTCTCAGAGCCTTGAACCACCATGTAAGAAATTCAGACTCCCTCCTGGAGAGGTAAGTCTGGAGGATGAGAAACTGCAGAGAAAGGTCACATGGAGAAGCGCCTAGAAGCCTAACAGTGACATGATCTGACACCTTTTAAAAGGATCACGGCTGCATGAAGAATAGACTGTAGGAGACATGAATGGAAATAAGGAGACTGATTAAGAGACTACTTCATAGCAGTCCATGGAAGAGAGGGCAATCGTTTGGACTGGAGTGGTAGCTGTAGAAGCAGTGAGAAATAATTGGGATTCAATGTACATTCTGAAGGCAAGGTCAACTGAATTTGCTGATAGACTAGATACAGGGTATGAGGGAAAAAAAAGGAGACAAGAACCATACCCAAGTTGGAAAGTGGGGAACACTAGGAGAAGAATCAGAAATCAACTGAAACTTTTGATAGTCTGAAGAAAGTTTTCTTTAGAGCATAACCACAAACTGATCTAACTAGGTACTTTTCAAAATAATTTGATGGATCTTCAGCATATTTGCCTGAGGCAATCGCATTTTGGCGGGGAACCCATGTCACTACGAAGTTGATACCTGTCTAGACATACTGACTATGCCATAAAACTGTATCAAACTTGGATAATCAACTTCTGTTTAGGCACAGGCTTGTCTTAATTTCAAAATGCTAAATCCTACATGCAGGCCTTTTTACAAATAATTCCTAATACACTGCTGAAAGTCCATTTTCAAGAATGGCATGCATTAGCCATTCCATTTACACAGAAAGAGCTGATACCTATAAACAGCAAACCCCGGTGTACAGAGTTGGATGTTTTCTAGCATAAATGCCACCGTTGTCTATGACACAGACTAAAAATGATTAATAAGAACCTTGTTGGACACAGGCCTTGGGGGACTTCAGGGCTGCTTTTGGTGTAGGTTTTCTGTTTTCGTCTCAGAAAAGGAAAACTCGTGAACTATGTAATAAGATTTAGAGAGCTAACAAACAGGTGGTTTTACAAGCTTGACCAAATGCCACTTCTCATCCCAATAACCAAAACCTCCCACTCCATCATCCTTCATATATTTGTCCTTTGCCTTGTAAAAGATGGAAATGGACCAGAGTTGGATGCTAACCAGAATACTATTTTCTGGCTAAAGACCAGAAATGTCAGTAACAGAGAACAATAATCAGCAAGATACTGAAATTATTCTGTTTATACCTTAAACCAACCAGCTGTTTCTATAATCATGGGGAGTTGTGCTTTGATCAGTGGCTATCAGACTTAGTAACAGACAGAAGTGTATAAGGACTTCACGAGTTTGGTTATCCCACTGCAGGAGCTATGGTTCAGTCATTTCTTACGCTTTCAATGATCAAATCATAAATGGGACCTAAAACATTTGACTATTAGAAATGAAGTATAAACTGAGAGTTCATGTACTTATCACTGGGTTACTCTAGCTGGTACTACATTTTAGTCACCACCCCCCAGGACAGAGTATTTCTTTGTGAGAAAGACACACACCTCAGATCCATCATCACTTCAGATGAGTTACTCTTAACGACTACACCATATTGTATTATTTTAAGAGCTTTGGCCCTAGAGTAGAAAAACCTGGTTTCAAATTCTGGCTCAATTTATCAGCTGTGTGACATAGAATAAATAACTTGATTTTTTTCTGAGTCTCTGTTTCCCTCTTCTGTAAAATAAGGATAATTCCAGGATCTATTTCACTGGGTTTTTGTGAGGATCAAGCAAAATAATCTAAGAAAAGTATGTTTAGCTCACCTGGAACACAGTAAAGTACCCAATAAATCAACACTCTTAATGACACAACACTGCTGGAGTTGGACTCTCCCCCTCTTTTTGAAAATACACCCTTTTTTCTCACTATTAATATATATTTTTTCCAGTTTAATTTTGATTGAAGTATAATATGCATAAAAGTGCATAATTTTAAGTGTACGGCTCAATCAATTTTCACAAGGTGAACACACCCATGTAACGAGCAGCCAGATCAAGAAATGGGTTATCACGAGCCTCACAAGCCCAGCCTTGTGCTCCTTTTTTCAAGTCACTAGCATCCCTAAGGTTAACCACTATACTCATTTCATTTTTTTGAAATATATTTTTTAAAACTGCCCATACAATTTACAATAGCATTAAAAAAATGTGACATTTAGGAATAAATTTAGCAACATGTGCAATACTTGTAAACCGAAATTACAAATATTGCTAAGGGAAATTAAAAAAAACAAATAAATGGATATATTGTTCACAAATTAGACTCAATATTGTTAAGATGTTCATTCTTTCCAACGAATCTATAGAATCAATGCAATATCAATCAAAATCCCAGCAGGCAAATTGACAAGCTGATTCTAAAATTTGTATGGAGGGCCGGCCGAGTGGCGCGATGGTTAAGAACTGGCTTGGGATGCCAGAGGGCCCCGGTTCAGATCCCACATATGAGGGCCAGTGACACTGCCCTCTACAGCTAAGATGCTGAACAACAGCTCAACCTGGAGCTGGACTGCTGTGAGTCACTGGCGACGGCGTACGCTGCAGTTCCTGTGGCAGTGGGTTGCCATGGGCTACCGTATGTAGCCAGCAGCCACCGTGAGCGGCCGTCCAGAAGCCGGCGACTGATGTGCCTCGCCCGGGAAGAGCGCAATGATGGTGCCAACTTGGGCCAGTGAAGCAACGTCCTCCACAACTAGACTGAAGAACAAAACGACAGCAACTTGTCTGTTCCCCTTCCCCCAATTCCCCAGCACTGTTCCCATCCCCCCAATTCCCCAATAAAAATCTTTAAAAAAAAAAATTTGTATGGAAATGCAAACTTTAGCCAAAACAATCTTGAAAAATAAAAACAAAGATGGAGGATTCACATTATCGAACTTCAAAACTTATAGTAAAGCAATAGTAATCCAGAAAATGTGGTTTCATGTAAGGACAAACATGTATATCAATGGAACAAAATAGAAGAGAGTCCACAAACAGACTCACATATGGCCAGCTGATTTTTGAGAATGGTACTAAGATAACTCAATAGGGAAAGGACAGTCTTTTCAACAAAGATGCTAAAACAACTGGATATCAATTTAGGAAAAGATTCTGGATTTATATGTAGAGGTAAAAGAGAACTTTTAGAAGAAAATCTTTGTGCTCTTGGGATAGGCAAACATTTCATAGGTAGGGCACAAAACCACAAAAAAAGTGCAAACTTTTTTTTTTTTAAAGAAAATAATAAATTGGCATGTATCAAAATTTTAAGCTTCTGGTTTCCAAAAGAAACAGTTAAGAAAACAAAAATACAAATCACAAACTGGGAGAAAATATTTGCAATATGTATATTTGATGAAGGACTTGTATCTAGGATATATAAGGAATTCTCAGAACTTGATAATACGAAAATAACCCTCTTTTTTTAATAGGCAGAAGATTTGAACAGACACTACACATACATACATACACACACACACACACACAAACACACACACACACACACCCATGGATGGCCAATAAGTACATGGAAAGATGTTCAACATCATTAGTCACTAGGAAAATGCAAATTAAAATCACAATGAGATGCTACTATATACTTATTAGAATGGCTAAAATTAAAAAGACCAACCATACCAAGTATTGGCAAGAAAGAGGAGCAGCTGGGTCTCTCACACATTGCTGGCAGTAATATTGAATGGTACCACCACTTTAGAAAACTGGCTGATGGTTTCTTATAAAGTGAAACATACTTACCACATGACCCAGCAATTCCACTCCTAGGTATTCACCACTCCTCATGAAAACATATTTCCACCCAAAGACTTGTACATAAATATTCATAACTGTTTTTTTCACTATAGTCCCAAACTGAAAGAAGCCCAATGTCTATCAAGAGTTGAACTGATAAACAAATTGTAATATATCTACACAATGGAATAGTACTCATCAGTAAAAAGACTGAACTACAGAGACACAAAATGGCAAGGATGAATCTCAAAAACATGCTGAACAAAAGAAGCCAGGCACAAGAGTACATACTTTATGAATCTACCTATACGAAACTCTAGGAACAACAGATCTAATTTATAATGAAAAAAACTGACCAGTGGTTGCCTGGGGCTGGATGTGGGAGTGGGACTAAGGGCACAAGGGAAGCTTTGGGGCAACGCAAATATTCTACAGCCTGATTGTTACACAGGTGTATACATTTGCAAAATTTATTGAACTCTATACTTAAAATGGATGTATTTTATTATATGCAAATTATCTTAGTAAATTGACTTTTTAAACTTCTAAGAATAGGGTATTCCTAAGGCTAAATGCCAGTAATTTAATTTCATAGGTAATTAAGATGTTATATTTGTAGAGAACGCTGGAGATAAAGGCCTTTGTTATCCACTCTCTTCCTTCTATCATCCTCCCATACGGATTTTTCTACTAATGTTTAAAGTAAATGCAGCAAAATTTCAATTTGAGAACCGTTGAAAATCCACAAGGGTACAGTGAAAAAGTTCAATTATTAAAAAATCAAAAGGTTGTATATTAGAGTATATGGGAGAGAGGGTAATGGTTACTGGTGGCAATAGAATTGATTTGGCTTCCTCAACAAAAGCCTGATGACTCAACCACTACTGTTCAGATGTCGAGAAAAGCTGACAAACAACCTCAGTTTAATGGTAACACTAACTTTCTGCCACCCCTGCACAGCTCCTCTTCTGCTTTTCTGTTTACAATGAACAGTTATCTCCAAAAGAAAGAAAGAAGCTGTCAGGTGACAAGCACACAAAATGAAAGAACTTAAGTATTTATACGACTGTCCTCAGCGGCTAAGGGCTAACATTTTTTCCCCCCTGAAAACATATTACATGCATCGCTTTCAAAATTACCATGGATTTCTCCGAAGCTGCCGCCAGGGCCAGCAGGGGAAAATAACACACTTGCAGACACCAACTAGCCTAACCACCACACCACTGCAATATTAAGTATGCTGACTTTGCGGACTGTATTGTGTACAGCTTGGAAGATACAGCATGGACTGGCTAAACTTGATGGTGGAATGACAGATGTTTCTAGTTTGCATGCAAACCCTGCTTCATTTAACCACTAAGGAAGGGTGTGGTAAGTAGAGAAAGAAAATGTTCCAGACATAGGACACCATTTGGAATTAGGGGAGCAAGGCCTAGGGGAAAAGAATAATATTTACGACTAGAGAGATATTTCAGTTTGGCTTTTAAGAAGGGCTTTGAAGAAAGACTGGCATTGAAACCCATGGTAGGGGAAAGGGGATATAATGATTGGGATGAAGAATGAAAGTAAGAATAAAATGAGCGGGCCGGCCGAGTGGCACGTTGGTTAAGAGCTGGCTTGGGATGCCAGAAGGTCCCGGTTCGGATCCCACATATGAGGGCCAGTGACACTGCCCTGTACAGCTACGATGCTGAACAACAGCTCAACCTGGAGCTGGGCTGCCGTGAGTCACGGAGATGGCGTAGGCTGCAGCCCCTGCTGCAGTGGGTTGCCATGGGCTACCGTGTGTAGCCAGCAGCCAGCGTGAGCAGCCGTCCAGAAGCTGGCAACTGGTCTGCCTCGCCCGGGAAGAGCGCAATGATGGTGCCAACTTGGGCCAGTGAAGCAACGTCCTCCACAACTAGACTGAAGAACAAAACGACAGCAACTTGTCTGTTCCCCTTCCCCCAATTTCTCAGTGCTGTTCCCATCCCCAAATTCCCCAATAAAAATCTTTAAAAAAAATAAAATAAAATAAAATAAGCAAGGTTTGTGCTGGGGATAGTAAGGCTGTAGCCTAGGAGGGACAGGGCAAGAATTTTGACTACAGCTGGGACTTTAGAGTTATCAAACAACCAACAGCCATTTATTGAGTGACTATTCTGTGCTGGGCATTTTCTAGGTGCTAGGAAAACTGTAGTGAGCACATAGTTTCTTTACCATCTCTGGGGAAGGATAGGGGAGAATATACAATAAATGTGTTAATTTCAGAAACCAATAACTATTGTGAAAGAAAACAAAATCAGGTGACATAAAATGGGGACTGAGTAGTGCAACCTACTTTAACTGGGGTGGTCATGAAATGCTGCTTAAGGAGGTAATATATGAGCTGAGATCTGAATGATGCGAGTCAGTCTTGCAAAGGTCTGGGGGAAAAGCCTTCGGACAGAAGGAAGAGCAAGTCAAAGGTGTGCTCAAGCGAAAGACAGAAAGAAGGCTAATCCGGGTAGCTGGGGCCAAGTGAATGAGGGGGAAGGGGGTGGGAAACGAGGTCAGTGAGGTGGCCCGGGGCCAGATCATATAGCCTTCTGGGACACAGTAAGGAGTGTGGATTTCATCCTAAATGTAAAAGAGAGCCCCTGGAGGTTTTGAAGCAGTTAAATATGACATTATTTGATTTCTGCTTTAGAAATATTTATACTGGCTGCCACACAGAGAATTGGGGGTGGGGGGGGCGGGGCAGGCTGGGCAGGTGGGAAGGGGGAAACAAGAGCAAGTTGCAAGAGCAAAGGAATAAGACCAATTAGAAAGCTGATGAAATAATCCAGGCAAGAAGTGATCGTGGCTAAAATTAGAAGAGGCAGATTAGGAAGTGCTTAAAAGAAAGGTATTTTAACCTCGCAAGAGAGGAAGGAGGAGAGAGGGCCGGTGAGAATTGTAAGTCTGAGTTATAATACACATTTAATTATTTCAGTATAATGCTTTACTTCTTCAACAGGGTTGTCCCTTCAAATATTTAATCTGGTACATTAACCTGGGTGGAGATAGAACCAGGGTTCTTGCTCCTGTGGCTGAGAGAAACAATGAAAAACAATCAAGAGTTTAGAAGGGGAAGTGGGATTTTTTTAAAGGTCTATACTCTACTCTACTGGCTGTTGCCAGGCTTTAGTTAAATATGAATCCAAACACATTATGATTTTAAAGTTCTTTTTTTAATTGTTTTTCATTGATTCTTTGTAAAAATACCTCTTAGAATCAACATGGTCTTGGATGAATTAAGAGGAAACGGTATTGTCTACATTTTGACTAGTACTGACGTAAGCACACCTAAGGGATGGAGATGGTGAAAGCAGGGAGGTCCAGAACAGCTCTAGAGCTCCCAAAGAGCCGGGATAGAAAAGAAAAACGAACCCAGAAGGGATAGAGCCCATTGGTACTTGGCATCCATCTTCTAACAAGGGGATTTCAAGAGAAACAGAAAGTATTTGGCCATAAATTGAATATGCAGAGTACGAGGTAATCAATGCTCAAAAGTGGGATCATAACTTTTAACATTCCAGTTTTCAGTTCTTAAAAAAAACTTTCAGTGATTAAAAAAGTAGCCTATTATCTTCTTGGAAGATGAGAGTGCAAATGAAAAGAAAATGGTGGCTGTATGTATAGAATGGGACATACATTTCAATAGAAGTAAATATCACATTTTTCAGTGGGATTATTGTATTAATATTTTAACAGCTTCTACTAAATATGATTACATATTAGGTGAACTCATAAATATGTCATATCTGATTAGTGAACATGGAAGACAGGAAGGGGCAGATTTGTCAGCAGAAGGAAAGTTCACATTATGAATCTGACTGGTGTCTAATAACCAACAAGAAAAAGCATGCAATCATTTCAATTCTTTTAAATAAAGCTCACTAGGAAATAAACTCACGAATATACCAGTACATAAGATTATTTAAGGACTGGACACTTGCCAATCATTTTTTTTTCTATTTACTAATTATAGGAAAAGCCATATAAAAAATTAACCAAAAGCAAAGCCAAGCCATTTTGATTATTTCCAGATTTTTGAGGTAACGGGATAGGATAGTCACTTAACATTTTTAGATTTCAAAACAGAGGCTCTCATTTCTGCAGTTCCCTCATGCAACTTTATAGCTTCCAGGGCGATAGGTTCTTTTGTTCTGAACCAAGAAACTCACAGCAGTTTAATTTACTGCTGCATTATTATAGCTACTAACTACACACACCTCCAAGGCTGGTAAACCCACTGATGTAGGCAGTCCCACCTTAAAAGGATTTTTGGATGGGTCTCAGTGATGGGGGGGAAAAAAAGGACATAATGTTTAATTATAAGAAATGATTGAAATAGGCACAGACATACCCCGGGTGCCTCTGCACTGCAGCAAGCGCTAAACTTGTTATCGTTAATGGTTTAAATTTCACTGTGCTAATCATTTCAGGACACAAGCCTTTCTTGATAATCTAATGAATTATTCCAACATCCTTCAGCAAAAAAAAAATCCTCCATGACAGCACTAATTACAAGACGTTTTCCCAGTGCTTATGTAAAATATGACAGAGCAGCAGCTTAGGGAATTGCAGAAAACTGCTTCTAATTTCCACTGAGAAACTGACAAACACCTCTCTTTCATCTCTCCCAGCTCTCAAGTAAGATTTAACTTTCTCATTTAGTTAATTACCGAGTGAGGATCATCATTTCCCCGGATCGGAGCGGCACAGAGCCTTTATCGTGTTAACTTGTGAACTTGATCGATGGCTGCTGCTAAAACTTAATAACTTCACCCCCTGGCAAATTGTAAGATAAATATAATAGGAGAAACTCTGACAGTAAAAACCTGCCAGAAATGAGCACTGTGTTTATGTTTCTTTGCAGGCAGCAAAAAAACAACCGACAGCTTATTACTGGTTGCGTGTTACTTATATTTAAAAGACTCCAGGCAGTTAACTTTCTATGTACTGTTAAAACTTTGCTCACAAGATGGGGGAAAATGCGAAAAAGCACTAGTGATGCAGATTTGGGGAAGTGAGGAAAGAAGGGGGGGAAAAAAACCAGGGAGAAGGGCAAAGCAAGGAAATAATATATTGTGTAACATCTTTTAAAATGTCATGTTTACCATATAAAATGTCCAACCAGCATAAATAGGCACAAAATCCTTAAAAAAAAAAGAATTCTGGGCTTCTAAGACACTGTATGAACTATATCTAGTAGCAAAGCAAGAGAATTTCGCTCACTCAAAAATTTTTAGTGACGGTAAATTTATGCCTGAAGAATTCAATTAACTGCAGAATTCCTAGATCGCTTTTCAAAAGCCCTTGCAGCTAGAAAACCCTTCACTAACTACACCATTTAACCCCTTCTGAAACAAGTACACTATATCTAGGGAACGCATAAGTCAGAACACTTCATCTATTCTTCCATTTACCTTCTACACCTAAGCTAGCCAACTGAGAAGGACATAGTCTGGAAGTTTTTCTGGTCAAACTTGAATCTGAACTTGCAATTTTAACATTTAACTGTGGAACAGCTGGTATCATGGCCTAGTACAGCATGGAGTTTATGCCTTTTATAACCAACAGTACCAAGAACAACAGACGAGGTAAAACAATGAGGTATAACAATAATAGAATGGCTGCTCACCAATGCCAGTCCTCTCAACCCCCCATGAGACTGATAACAGAGCTGGAAACAAATCCGTATATATAATGTCAAGTCTGTCACACTGACTACCCTTACAGTATAGAAACATTACAATAAACAAAATATGAACTAAATTTTGGTGAGGGGAGAGAAAGGCAGAAAAGTTCTTGTAAGACTTGGAGTTTAAGCCTAACTTGTGAGAGTGTATTTAACACCCATTATGTGCTATGAGAACACCAACAGCTGAAAAATTCATGTTGTAGTCCAAAGGGCCATCATTTGGAAAGTTGGAAGGATCTGGAAAACTGAGTATCAAAATAGCAAACCAAACTCATACTCACTGGAGGATCAAATCTGGTTCCTCATTTTGTTTTGTTTTACTTTCATTAAATAAGGATCTATGGGGTCAGGCACAGAAAGATCAAACGATTTTTTTAAAACAGCATTTATAATAGACACATTTTAGAAAATACGGAAAATACAGAAGCACAAAGAACATAAAAAGTGCTCATAATTTCCACCATTAACAAATAAACAATGTTTACATTTTGGTGGGTATATATCTTTCTGGTCTTTAAAAAAAATCATTAGTCAATCATTTGATGTACAGGGGGAGGGTATTTTTGTGTCATCTAGAGTAGTCTCTGTCTATAACACCCAATTAACGAGGCAGGTGAAATTGATCTCCTTCATTGAACATCTTGGAACAGTCAAGATCTGAACCAGGAGGACAGAGAAGTACCGATGATTGGGACTGTGCAAAGGAGGGGAGAGAAGAGGAAGAAAAGGAGGAGAAAGGGAGAAGAGAGAGGGGTAGGGAATGAGGAGGGGAAAGAAAGGGAAGGGAAGCAGGGAGAAGGGTGAGAGGAAGGAGTGAAAGAACAGGAATGACAAAAGTGGGTGTGGGGTAAAGGAGAGAGTGGGGGCTGTGGGGCAGGAGTGGGAGAGAGACGGGAAAGAGATGGGAAGGATAAGCAGGGGGTAGGGAAAGATGGCAAAGAGGAGAGAGATGAGGAGCTAGGGAAGAGGTGAGGGAGTAGGGGTGAGGTGGAGAGAGAAGAGGGGGCCAGAGAATATAACAAAATGCAAAATGGACCTAGCATTACCAAGCTCACTTGCTCCAAGAAAAGCAATATGCTTGTTGGACAAACAGGTCCTCTCCCACACAATAAACAATAAACATCAAGAGGGAGAGGAGATGAAAAACTATTTTCCTAAGCCACTACTTAATGTTTCCAGCAGAGTAATAAAGTTTAATTGTCTGGAATCTGGTCGCTCTTTTTGTAAACTTCCTCAGGTAGAGATGGCTCATCTGGATGTTAAATAATATTAGTTAATATTACCAAAATAAAATTTCTGTGATGGAGAAAGTTTAAACTAAGTCTTCTCCCTAACTTCCTCCTCACAGCCTCCCCTTTTATTTTAGCATCAGAAGGTTAAGTTCTCCCATAAATAACAGGGAATGATGGAGGCATGGGCTGCCAGAGGAAAACGTAAGAGACACACTTAAAACACAATTATAAAGCGCATGGGAAAATATAGTCAGTTTTAAGTAAAGAGGAAAAAACTACCCTTTTCTTCTTTGTGCTCTAATCCTTACATTTTTGAGTCCCATAAAAAGGTCTCAATGACTTGGTAAAACTTGCTCCTGAAAAAAGCTTTTGAGAAGCTATATCTAAAACCTGGATTAGAAAAATACGAGTTTTTTGGGGGGGACAGGATCTCAAGAAGCCAACTCAGCTTTCTAGAAGAAATTCGACTCTTTCCAAATGCTTGTTAATGCATGTTAAATGCAGCAAGAAATAATCCTATGAGGCAGCAGCACAGGCCTCTCTTAGCTGCAGTGAATGAAGTAAATGAGTTGTAACTTCTGGAAGTCTTGGTTATCTGCAGGTAAAACTTTAATAACCCTTGGAGCATCAAGGGACTAAAGACATTTCTCTCTGGAATAGTTGGGTAATTGTTTTCTTAATTTATCCAGGAAAAAGCTTAGTTTGGATACAGCATCTGTTTTTTTTTTGTTGTTGTTGTTAGCAGAGGTATTCGAAATAACTTGTTCAGATTCACGTAAGTTAATAGAGTTCAGACTAAATTTTAAAATGCAGTTATTACATAAAGTATATACTTTTTCTAAAATGAAATTCTGGCCCTTCTTTCTAAGGAGAATGAAGCTCTAAGTCAATGATTAAGACTAAATATAGGAGACCAGCACTGCTTTGCAAATATGGGTAAATACATTTTCTATAGCTAAAAGTGGTTTACATGAGCA